GTGAACTTTTAATATTAATCTGGTTTTATAATTAAACAAATTTTTCCTTATTTTCCTTCTCTCTTCCCGCTTTATTTTAATTCGTGTCGACCTAACCGAAAACTTAACTTTTATATTGTTTAACAAAACAGTTAGTTCTCAAGGTGTAAGTTGTTCCACATAAATACTAATCTAAATGTTTCATTTTTAACATTCAATCATGGAATCTCACTTCCTTCCTTTGATATGATGTAGGAAATATCATTGGATTCTTCTCAACATATTAGATCAACTATCACCTCAGTTATCATAGGCATGGCCCCTGTTTAGGAAAAGTAACTATTTTATGTTCTTTATATCTGAAAACCATTTGTTTATATTCATTCATGAATCATGAATTGATAGAAAATTACAAGAAGCAACAATTGAACAATTATTTCCTATATTTCTTTCTTTTCTAAAAGACGGGTCCCATATGTAGGTCTCAATATCATCAGTAAGCTAGATCGAGTGAATCAGGTATAACTATACTATACTATACTATACTATACTATATGATCTTTATAATTGTATATTTTTTTTCATTTTTTATTAAGTCATTCTGATGTTTTGTTTTGGTGTTAATTTCTTAGGTTATAGGTGTAGGCTTTTTTATGATAAGTTTGGTGCTCCCTGCATGAAATGGTTGTAGGACAAGGTTAGTTTTGTAATTTCCTACTTTCACACCATACCCTTCATAATTCCCTCACCATTTTTTTTGTTTTTGTTACAACATGTTATTCCATTTGAGATGATGTTGCTAAAAAGTTATAGCGCCTCACAGAGGAATTTGGTCCCGATTGGGCAATCTAACACATTGTTCCACATGTATTATAAGTTTGAGTTATATTTATGGATTTATTTATATTTATTTATTAAATTACATGTTTTTTTGTTGTCAGGTGTTGGATATGGTTAACAACCCAACTTATCTGTACCACATGACTGTTATTCGTGTAATTTCCTTTCTTGCCCCTATTATAGGTCAAAAATTACTTCTTCTAATTTGCTCCATATTGTTGATACAACTTCCAAAGACAATTAGGTTAATTCATTTCTTCAACAATATTTTTTTTTCAGAATGCCTAATATCAAATCAATGTAGCTTAGGTGTGATAATTCCTAATTTTTATTGGTGACCACTCTGTAAGTTTCTTTTTACCTAAATTTGGTACTATATTGCAAGGGAAAAATGGTCATATTTAAAAAAAAAAACTAATACTTGAGTTGTTAGATTTCAACAAAAAGTGATAGGAACCATTTATGTAAATTTTGATGTGTTTGTTTTACACGTTGTGGAGAGTACGATTCAACTGTGTCCGGTGGATTTGACCAATATAACTTTTAATGTTGTATAAAAAGAATTGTTTCAAAATCTGTGTTAAAGTATTATATTTATTTTACTTATCACATTAATTCATGATTACTTACAATCGACAATACATTGTATTTTTTGATGACATTTAATATTTTTTATCTATTTAATAATTGTAAACATACCAACTGTGGGTCACGGGTTATAACCTAGTTTATATAATAGAGCCATAAGAAGTTGGCTTGGACATTTGGTCAACATTTTGGTGATAAACAAAATAAGTTTGCCAACGATTGTAGTGTTCTTACTAGAAAGTTAATTCATATTGAATATTTAACTTGGAAGAACGTGTCGCGAGTGAAAAAGATAACTTATTGTTAACTAAGGTTTGTTATTTTATACACATTAAATGTGCTTTCATTTAATTAATATATGTTACTAAAAATTATTATTTTGTTAAAACAAAAACAGAACCGCTGGCATATCCGTGATGATAAACGTAAATAAAATGTGCTTATGACTTCCAGCCACAAGTGGAGATCATTCAAGAATAAGATTAAAAAGGATTTCTTGCCCACTGAGGATGAGCGAGATCCACTTGAAACCTACTTGTATCTGGAGATCCACTTGAAACCTACTTGTATCTGGAGAACACTGAATTGCAAATTTGAAGGAGAGGATATACTCAAAGGAATTCTAGGTTTTTAGGACTTTAATGTCTCTTGATAATATTAATTATTATGTTGTGGTTTTATAATTGTGTTTGTTACTTTTATTGGAAGGTAATAAGCGAGAAAGCAAAGAAGACTTTGAAGTTTAATACGAATTCATCCTTACAACATGCTCAAACTTGTTGACATGTAAGAAATATTGTAATATCGCGTGAAAATAACATTCTTTCTATAAACTTGATAAATCAATTTCTTTTTTATTTTTAGGGTTTTTGCTAGGTATGAAAAAAACGCATCAATTCCAATTGTATGGATGTTAGCTGAGGTAATTTTTTTTATTAATTATCTAACAATTGGATGTTGTAATTTCATTTGTCTTATTTATGTTTACTTTCTATCATAATTTTAGTGCAACTAAGTTAGCGTATCTAAGAGTGAGAGTTGAATGGGAACTATGTAATGCAATGAATGTTTGATTTGTGATGACGAGACAATATGGATTTCCGAATATAGTAAGTACTTATTAAGTATATTTTTTCATTTTGTCTATAGCAAAAAACTATATGTTTTGTTATTCATTGGGTTTAATTTAATATTTCATATAGCTTAGTACCTTTTGAAATGAAAAAACTCCCTTAGAGGAAAAGGTATTGGTTACGAACTATTGCTACGTAGGAAAGAGAATTTATGAATAATTATATGAATTGTGTTGTCTAAACGTGCATACAAGGTTAGTTGTTAATCATTATAACATCATATTTTTAGCTTAATGATTGTTTGTTAACTTTAACTATTTTGAAATGTTAGACAAAAAATGATTATTTTTTGTGGTTCTTTTTCAGTGAGGATGTAGGATGGATGTTACACTTGATTATGATTATGGGACAATCCTTCAGCAGTGTGCTCACAAATTTTTTTTTTTCTGAAATTTTTTATATAAGTTTTATGTAGTAAAAATTATCAAATTAATGAGTTTTTTTGTGACACTCAAACATGTTTATATCAATGACACTAATGGTTGGTTATTTAGCATGTCTACATTAACATAACTTGTTCATTAGAGAATACTTTTTCATGTTTTGAATGTGTTAGATGTAAGTCTCAGTTTCTTGTGTATACTTATGTAAGTGGTTAGTTGTAACATAGTGTATTTTCGGATGTAAGTCCAATAGTTATTTTCACAAAAAAAATATTAAAATAAATATTGTTCTTTATTTGACCTGGTTATTTGAATGGAAATGGTGTCAATTTAAATGTTATATGACCCGGTTTTGGGGGTTAAAATCGGGCTCTTCTCTTTATACAACAAGATTTTGTGTAGTAGAACCGTGACCTAATCTCCTTTGTGGTCCGGTTTTGTGTATTTTAATCTTCTTATATATCCCGATTTTGATAAAAAAAATCGTGTTCTTTTCACAATGATAGGTCCCGGTTTTTTTTCACATAGAACACTTTGGCCGTAAGACACGGTTCAAAACCGGCTCATTTGATTGATTTAACTGGATCATATATGTGTTTTTGTAGTAGTGAGAGGGAAGTGTCCGACTTTATCGCGTTGCATCCGGAGTTTTTTCGCACTATCTGTTTTATGATCTTACACTGATGTTTTGAGAATACTTTTATATTTTGCTTATCTTATATTGATGAATAAATGAATGATTTTGGTTGTTGAAAAATGAAATTTTCACTTAATATTTTTGGGACGTTAATTCCACCTATGTCAGCGACAAGACTTGAACTCTTGACCTCAGAAAGAGGAAAACATCTAATACCGTTTGGCTAAAAACCCCATTCATTGGCACCCGTAATGAGGTAAAATGCCTTTTTTGATTGTTTTGAAGCTACTCAAGCTAGTGAGTGTATATATTTAGCTATTATTAAACCTTAGAAACAAACTATTTTCTTGTCTCTCTCAAATTACTCAACATTTAATCCCAAATAGTTGTGTTTTCTCCAATTTCGTTGCATTGTAAATATTATTATCACTAGTGGAACTTTAGATAATATGCCCCGCTCCTGATTTGGATCTTATATATAAATCTCGGTGTGTTTATCTTTATTTTTATTTTTTAATTTATTAATTATTGTTGATTCTCATAATATATTAGTGATTTTTCTTTTGACTAAAGTTGTTATTTTATTATCAAGGTCATTTGAAGATCAGGATGTTGGGACATTTCAGTTTGGTTTAATTTTACCAATATTGGCAAACTTTGCTAATTGGAAAAAATATTTATTGTTGTTCACTTATTAATTGTTTGATCAACAAAGACGGTGGTGGTGTAGTGAACCTTTTAATTTTATGTTTTGGTAAAAATAAGTTTCTATATTGTTTGCAATTTAATCAATATATTGATTTTTATTAAACAAAAGATCACTAATACAAATTTAACATGAAAATCTTGTTTTTAAAAATATATAAAAAGACATAGGTATAAACTTAACAAATTACAATTTTTTAATGGGCGGCCGATATTTAAAATAAAAAAATAATATTAACGAGGCGTTAGTAAGCAAAGTTATACATGACTGGAATTACAACATTATTATTTCTAATGAAATTCTCGACCTTTAATCATGTCAAGCAAACTATACAAATTATTATAATTACTTGGTTTGATATATACTTAATAACTTAAACCAACAAAATACAATAATCAAGATTACAACTAAGTACTGGCCAACTATAAATTAAATATGTAACAAACAAGTATATTTTTAAGCACTAAATGACAATAGACATAGAAACCATGTATTTTACAACATTACAACATACGATTATCAAAACTTCAATCATGTCAAGAAAGCTATACAAACCCTCAAATTCTTTATTATTATTTTTTTCCCTTACTTAATTACAATATGAAGTTCATGATTGTTTATGTATGCGAGAACACAATTTCCCTAAAATAAAATTAATTAATTTATCCTTTAATAATTCATATTAATATCATAATATGATCATTATTAAATTTGACCTTATTACCTTACTTTCACTAGTATGGTGGCCGGCCGTGAGACCAAGCAAAAGCTTCATGGTTCATCTGTCCACCACCATTCGGGATCAAATTCGGCTGCATATTATACCCTGCCATGGGATTCTGATCACCCATTCCGAGTTGCCGTGGTGATCCACCGCCACCTAGACCAGGTGTCACGCTATCCGCTTCCTCCTCTTCCTCAACCGGGAGTCTTTCATAGGTAGCGTTGGAGAACGTGGCGGCTATGACCATCACTGGTCCTGATGCTACCAATGATCCCACCACGCTACCACCCACAACCTGGCCCTGGCCTCCAGATAAATATATAGTGAGCCCGGTGGATCCAGGTGGTGCAGGACCCGGTAAGAAGGCGCCGGTTAGGGATAAAATCTCGAACCGGCCTTGTAGAGCCATGACTGAGCCAGGTGCCGAAGGTTGTCTTAGGGTTACGTTCATGACTGTGCCGCTAGCACTCATCACACACACACCGCGTTGCCGTTTTCGGCTAAATTGAGCTATACTTTCTGCGATATCTGTACCACTCGCTACCTCCATGACGTGGCTGCGGAGGGCGTTGGGGCTATCTCTGGTGACGAAAATCGGTGGCTTTGGTTTGTTTTTGGACCCCGGAGGTCGGCCTCGTGGCCTACGGTTAGAAGGGTCGATTGCACCTTCTCTTGGATCATCGCTGTTGTTCTCTCTTTCATCTTCTTCACTTCCTGTGGTGGCATCGTTCATTGAGATACCCAGATCTGGCTTCTTGATGGCCTGAGATGATGTTTCTACGCCGGCCACGTTGACTTGGCCGGTCCACCATCGGTTAGACATGATATTGATGTAGAAAGATGGAAATAGTCCAATGATCAGAGCTAGCTATCAAATTAACTGGATTGAACTATTTGGTGTATAGAAGCAAATAAGTCTGGAGCTAGCTTTGTGAACTATTCGTTTGGTGGGTTTGGGTGTATCTATCAAAGGTTTTATATTTAATAACAAGTTGCTTTCTCCCCCTCCCCTCCCTCTCTCCCACCCTCTCTTTCTATCTCTTTCTATACATAGATATATACTTTAACCTTGTTTTTATCTAAAACTAAAGACTGTCTTTAGGTTTTGGTGGGTGGTGTATACTACAAGGTTTTATAATCTCTCCCTCTCTCTCTCTCTCTCTCTCTCTCTATATATATATATATATATATATATATATATATATATATATATATATATATATATATAAACAATTAAAATCATTATTAAAATTTTTTGAAAAGTTATAATAGTTTTAATAAATTAAGTATTTAATAGTTATAAATGATTTAGAGGTTATAAATATTAAAATAATTTAATATTTTTATCTATATATAATTGTATGGGTTACTAACTTTTTCATTTTTCTATTTTTCTTTTTAAGGTTGTAATAAAAAATAATGCAATCTAATACATTTTGAATAAATAAGTTGAAAACAAATTCTTTAAAACGAATGTTTTCTGCTAAAAAAAACGTTATCTCAAGATCCAAGAACATTTTATAAACATGATAGTTTATTTGTTTAGTATAACATTTTAAAAATCTAGAATCATATAAATTTATACGTATGAAACAACGATAAAAAATATTAATCATAGGTAGAAATTGAATATTTATGAGAGTTTCAAGTTAACTAGAACCTATTGAGCTACTTATTAATTAATAAACACAAATCATAGAATATCTATGAAGTAACAGAACAGTTTTATATTAATATAGAGTAATTAAAACAATTTAAAAAAAAATACAAATTAATATGATAAAATAAATCATTTATCATTAACCACATTACTACATTAGTTTGGATTACTTTGGATGCTCTCTAATAAAATAATTATCTAATAAATACAAATGATTTAGAGTTTATAAATATATGGATATACTTTTGATATTTTGTATCCATCTTTAACTTGTCGATTTTACTAATTGTTTTCATTTTTTTTAACTTGTAATAAAAAAATATAATATAACATATCTTTGAATAAAGAAGTGTAAAATATAATATTTAAAATTAATATTTTTGGTTAGTAAAGAAGTTTATCGCGATTTCCAATAAAAATGATTAGGGTTTATGTAGAAAAGTATGATTATTTCTAGAATTTTTTGGTAAATTTTTAATTTTTTTTAATAGAAAAATCTCGATTATTTGATTTTACATAATTATCTGCCATTTCCTGTTAAAATAAAAATAAATACTTTTTGTTAATTTGGAAAAAATATTAAATAATTGGAACTTTTCTATTCAAAATTTTTTTTAGGACTTTATAAAAAAAATTCCAAAATAATTGGTTGTTTCTGTAAATAACCAATTTGATTAACATGAAATTTGTTATAATATTTTATAATTTTATAATAATATTTTTTTTACTTACAAGAAAAAAATAAAAATTATTAATTATAGTATTAGTTAGAAATTAAAAAGTCATAAGAGTTTTATGTTAAGTAAAACCTATTGACCCACTCATTATATAATAATAATTAATCATGCATTAAGTATGAAGAAACTGAAAAGTTTGATATTAATTTAACATAATTAAAAAAAATAAAAATTCATATTAATATTATAAAAGATAAATTATATATATATATATATATATATATATATATATATATATATATATTTGACAAGTATATGTTTTGGAAATGATTATAATATTAACACTAATTATGAAATAATAAATCTTATAGTAAATTGATATATAAAATTACAATATTTTGAACAATATTATTTAAGGTGCTCTACATATGTCTTATATACATATAAATATAAATATAACTCTTAATTATGTTACGTTTTAACAATTGTTATAATTAATTGATTTAAAATTTAAATTTTTGACAAACTTTTAAATCGGCTCAAGGTGACTCTTTAAAATATCAAACAATGGTTTTAAAATAATGTAATATAATTTATAATTTTATGTTACTATTAATTATTATTATTATCGTTAATTATTATTTTTTTTAAAATTATTTTTTATAAAAATTTTGTTATAAACTTTTAAAATCGGCTTTTTATAATTAAAATGTTATATAGATTAAAGTCTTGGTGATTTTTTTTGCAATTATATATATTAATGAACCAATTAAAATTGATACTAAAAGTATTTGAAAAGTTATGAGAGTTTCAAATAAAATTATTATTTATTATTTATAGATTATTTAATAATTGTTAATCGCTACACATATTTGAATAGATAAGTCAAAACTATAGGCTTTAAAAGTGGTCTTTTTTTAAATAAATTTTATCTCGAAAACATGATAGATTATTTGTTTAATATGATATTGTTTTTAATTTAGTACAATATAAAAATATATGTGAATTTATTTAATCAAATTTAACTTATTAAAACTATAAAAATCATTATTTTGAAGAGTTATGAGTGTTTTAATTTTATTAACTATTTAACCGATTAACATGTTCTTTTGTAAAACCAATTAAATTACTCATTATTTAATAATCATTAATAACACCAAAAGTATAAAGTAATTGAAAATTTTGTATTAACGTGTAGTAATTAATAACTTGAAAAAGAAATCAAGTAGATACGGTAAAAGAGAATGATTTATCTTCAATCATACTTATTATTTAAATGACTTGAATTGTAGTATATTATATTTTAACATGTAAGAAAATATAACATAATCAAACAAATATCTAAATAAATAAGTCGAAAAATTAGTCTCTAAAATTATTTCTTCTGGTTAGGAAAATAAGATTTATCTTGATAAAATAATACATTATTTGTTTAATATGGCATTTTTAAAATATAACATTAATATAAATATATATATTATAATTTATTAGGCAAAAATATATAAGAGAATTTTTCAAATATACTAACAATATAAATATAAATAACTTAACGTAAATATAATAGTTAATTATAATATTAGATATAAATTTGAGGAGTTATGAGAATGTCACATTTATTAGTTATTTACTTAATTAACATATTTTTTGTAAAACTCTTCAACTACCTATTAATTTATTACTTAATAGAATCATTTATATGAATGAGAATCTAAAGAAATTGAAATTCAATTCCGAATAGAATATGAATTTTTAATACATTTGATTAACATGTAATGTAATGGAATAATTTTTTGATTTCTGTTTGGTTTTAAGTTTATCAGAATGTAAAATATATAATTTGTCTAAACTACCATTTATAGATTTTTCTAATTTTTTTCCTCTCAAATTATAAAAATGACTAAAAATTAAATGTAACACCCCGTTTCGGATCATTCTGTGATTCAAGACTTGTGGACCGTAATTCGAATATGTGAAGGATTTGGGGCTCTAAGGAAGTAAGGTTTGGACTTTAATGAAAGTGGTTATTTTTGGTAAGGAGGTATAGGCCCTTAAATCGTGTATTGGAACCAAGTGTGAAACGGGGAAATTGTAACATCCGGAAATTACAGGTATGATAAATTGAGTATTTATTTTGAGAAATGAGGAGTGGCTCGACGAGTTAGCGCCTCAACTCGTCGAGTAGGATCGCGACTTGGTGACGTGGAAAATGAATGGACTCGACGAGTCGGAAAGCCGACTCGACGAGTCAGCGTTGTGGGCAGAAACCCTAATCTTCCCGGGCTTGGGCCTATTTAAAGGCACTTATAGCCTCCTTGGCCCCTTCCCATCAGTGTCTTCGTCCCTTGAGAGAAACCCTAGAGTCTTTTGTGAGCTAGAGAGGAAAGAGGTTAATTTGAGGTCATTTCTTTGAGAAAAGGATCAAGGGTGTTGCAAGAATCTCAGAGGAGAGGTGGGGGATCAGTTTCATCTTCATTTCAAGCTTCAGATCTGGTATAAGCTCTTGCCTTCCTTGTGTTTGGTTAGATTTTCCTTTGGTTGTTGAGTTAGGGTTTGTATCACCATTTTGATGGGGTTTTGGGTGCATCCAAACCCTTTCTCGAGTTGCTCTTTAGATCTGGACCTTGTGAGGTCCAGAGAAACAGAAAGTAGGAAGCCATGAGTGAGTAACCTTGGAGCTTTGAAGTTATGAAGCTTTAATGGAGTCATAATGGTATATAGAGCAATATACACCATGCATGAACCCCAAGTTCAGACCTTTACGTGACTTTTGGATGCTAGAAGGCCAGATCTATGGGTTAGAGTTCCGGATCTGACTTCAGAAGGCCATATGAGTGATGCAATGGAGACGACTCGCCGAGTCTATGAGATGACTCGACGAGTCGGATCAGATTTGCCCCGTGATTCGTGACCCAGTGATAACCCGTCGAGTTGGGAGGTTAACTCGACGAGTCATGTGAGGCCTTAGAGGGATTCATAGGATACGCTTGAACTCGCCGAGTCACACGAGTGCACTCGGCGAGTCTGGTCAATATTAGACTGTTGACTGGAGTTGACTTCAGTTGACCTTAGGGTTTGGTCAAACTGATTAAGAGAGGTCAGGAAAGGGTGGAATGGTCTTCTACCCATTTTCTAGGAATGAGAATGTAAGGAGTGTATTAATTAGAAATTGTATCCTTATAATAGTCGGAGGCTAGATCAACGAGTTCGGGCACCAGAGTTTTACTAGCTATCTTACCAGGCGAGTCTTCTCACTATACCTACCTTGAGTGGTAACTTATGTGTGACCAGTGGGTCTTATGTGTATGTGATGTGTATTGAGAGTTCCTGCTATATGTTTGTGATATGCTTGCTATGTATTATATTGAGATGCTTAGTTGAGGGACCAGAGGGTCCATCAGAGTCGTGGGGCCGGAGGGTCCCACTGAGACACATTGACCAGAGGGTCTATTGAGCATAGCCTCGAGTGGCTGTTATGTGTGTGTGGTA